AAAATTGAATACCATCACGTCCAGAGCTCGGCAATGAAAGGACGGAAGCCTTTAGAGAAACGTGTCACTGTGATAGACTCACAAACACGAGTAATGTCAAGCAGAGGGAGGCAGACAACCAAACCAAATTAAGATAATACTTACTCCGATGTAGTTTAGATTAATGGTTCTCAAAATGTGGGCTGGGTACCCTTAGGGTGTCAAGACCTTTTTAGGAGGGCTGTGAGGTCAAAAACCGTTTTTTAAAGCAATAGAGTCTTGCTGTCTTACCCAGGCTGGAAGGCAGTGGCTAAATATCGGCTCACCACAACTTCCGCCTCCTGGGTTCAAGCGATTCTCCTGCCTCAGCCCCGAGGAGCTGGGATTACAGGCACGTGCCATCACGCCCAGCTTATTTTCTGTATTTTTAGTAGAGATGGGGTTTCACCATGTTGGCCAGGCTGTTCTTGAGCCCCTCATCTCAAGTGATCCACTTGGCTCAGCCTCCCAAAGTGCTGGGATTACAGGCGTGAGCCACCCCGCCCGGCCCAAAACTGTTTTCATCATAAAACAACATTTACATTTTTGGGTCTATTCTGTCATGTGTACAGTTGAATTTCTCAGAGGTTACATGAAATATACTGTAACAAGTTGAACACAGAAGCAGAAATGAAAATCCAGTTGTCTTTTATTAAGCAAGACTTAGAGATCTGCAAAATGTAGAAAAACGTAGTGATGAGTGTCACCAGAAAATAGTTCATGTTACTTATATTAGCATATAGTGGGTCTGTTTTTAAAAATGAATATTTAAAAAAACCTAATTTCTAATGTGGAAAATACTGAAATAAAACTCACAGAAATGAGAACTCTTCGGGGTCCCGAGAACCACTGCTTTAAACCAAAGATTAATTTGAAAGCCTCTGTCAGAAACCCAAACCCTAGCCAGTTAGAACTGTTTTCCCATGTTGGCCTTTCAGACTAAGTCCTAAGTCAAGGTTTCTTAATTTCTAGGTCGCTATCTCTTTTTGAATGCAATTGCCAATCAGCTCCGGTACCCAAATAGCCACACTCACTACTTCAGTTGCACCATGCTGTACCTTTTTGCAGAGGCCAATACGGAAGCCATCCAAGAACAGATCACAAGGTAAGAAAGCAGCTTATTTTTTAAATGCTTCAAAAGGGTTTTCTTCCTTTCATCTTAAATTCTTTTTTTTTTTTTTAAATTCTCTATGCTTTCAGTGTTCAGTGAAAATCTATTGTTTGGTTGGTTTGGGTGTTTTTGTTTTTGTTTTTTTGGGAGATGGAGTGTTGCTCTGTCACTGAGTCTGGAATGCAATGGTGCGATCTTGGCTCAATGCAACCTCCACCTCCCAGGTTCAACCTTTCTCGTGCCTTAGCCTCTCAAGTAGCTGGGATTCCAGGCACCCGCCACCATGCCCAGCTAATTTTTGTATTTTAGTAGAGACGGGGTTTCACCATGTTGGCCAGGCTGGTCTTGAACTTCTGACCTCAAGTGATCCGCCCACCTCAGCCTCCCAAAATGCTGGCATTACAGGTGTGAGCCACTGCACCTGGCCTTCAGTGAAAATCTTTTACATGTCCAATAATGTGTTAAGTGTGGGATACAATTGTGAGCAAAATGGGGATGGTTGCTGCCCTCCTAATACTCATTCTGATGAACATGTATCACAAGTAGAGAATTATAAATCGTAATCATGGCTTAAATGAAAAGTAGTTTACACCACAAGGCACATTTTGATTAAAGGTCAGGAGTTTCTCTGAGTTGGTGGTGATAACCAGTCCTAAATCATGCATGCCTATGGAAGACTGTGTTAAGGACCTTGGACTTTTCCTCATTACCTCTGGGTTGAAAGCAGTAGCAATAACAGGAAATAACAATAGTTAGGAATCTGTTGCCGGATTGCCTAGACTATATATAGCATTAGAGAGATTGTGATATATATATATACACACACACACACACACACTTTAAAAATTGGACTAGACTCTTAAAACTTGCTCATTTGCCTAATAATACCTATGATGCTAAATATGGTATTCCTTTGTGTACTAAAATTTAATATCTTATTGGATGCTTAGATGATGATGATCCATTTTGTTTATATAAAGCTGCAGTAAGTCTCCTTGGGCTTGTAATCTTTGTTATGCTTCATGTACAGTTGGTATGTGAAAGGATATAAAAGCCAATATTGGCATTCAGAAAAATTTTACCAATTTACACATGCACTAGCAATGTTAGAATTCTTTTGAGACAGTCTCGCTTTGTCGCCCAGGCTGGAGTGCAGTGCCTCAATGTCGGCTCTCTACAACCTCTTCCTCCTGGGTTCAAGCAATTCTCTGCCTCAGCCTCCTGAGTAGCTGGGATTATAGGCACCTGCCACCACGCCTGGTTAATTTGTTGCATTTTTAGTAGAGACGGGGTTTCACCATCTTGGCCAGGCTGGTCTTGAATTCCTGACCTTGTGATCCACCCGTCTCAGCCTCCCAGAGTGCTGGGATTACAGGCGTGAGCCACCGCGTCCAGCCTGCAGTGTTAGAATTATTTTCTATTTCCTTACTTTTCATTGAGAGCTTGCTTGCTTGCTTATTTATTTGAGACAGAGTCTCTGTCGCCTAGGCTGGAGTATAGTGGCATGATCTCGGCCCACCACAACTTCCCACCTACCAGGTTCAAGTGATTCTCCTGCCTCAGCCTCCGACTGCTGGGATTACAGGCATGTGCCACCATGCCTAATTTTTGTATTTGTAGCAGAGACGTGGTTTCACTATGTTGGCCAGGTTGGTCTTGAACTCCTGACCTCAGATGATCCACCTGCCTCAGCCTCCCAAAGTGCTGGGATTACAGGCATGAGCCACTATGCCTGGCCTGGGAGCTTATTCTGGAAATTACTTTTTGTACTAACTTCGTGTGCCATGTACTCTGGGCTTTATGTGGCTTCCTCTCCCCCATCACCCCTTATTCTGAACAGTTCTGAGGTAGATACCATTATCTGCACTTGACATTAATACTTAGTCTTCTAGGGCTAAGAGCAAGGTTCAAACCCAGGTATTCCATCCCATGCCATTTGGAGTATATTGATTAATCCACCTGTCTTTACTACTAAAGGTGAAAACTTTTGCCTGTGGTTTAATAATCAGGGAGAAGTTAGAAAAAAGGGTAATGGAAGAATCATCATGAATTTGTATTCTTCTCTGCATTAACTAGCTCTTTTCTCCCCTTTCCCAGAGTTCTCTTGGAACGGTTGATTGTAAATAGGCCACATCCTTGGGGTCTTCTTATTACCTTCATTGAGCTGATTAAAAACCCAGCGTTTAAGTTCTGGAACCATGAATTTGTACACTGTGCCCCAGAAATCGAAAAGTGAGTTCAAAGTAATTTTTAATTGTCTAGGAATGAGACTGGAGACTGAAAACCTTATTTGTCTCTAGGTTGGGTCAGTGATTAGTAGTTGAATGAGATGCAGGGTATTGTTAGGCCTACTCTTTAATCACAGATTTGTAACTGTCTTCATCCTTCAGGTTATTCCAGTCGGTCGCACAGTGCTGCATGGGACAGAAGCAGGCCCAGCAAGTAATGGAAGGGACAGGTGCCAGTTAGATGAAACTGCATCTCCGTTGTACGTGTGTCAGCCTAGAGGTCTCACTGCACCGAGTTCACAAACTGAAGAATCCTTTCAGCTCTTCCTGACTTTCCCAGCCCTTTGGTTTGCGGGTATCTGCCCCAACTACTGTTGGGATCAGCCTCCTGTCTTATGTGGGCACGTTCCAAAGTTTAAATGCATTTTTTTGACTCTTGGCCAAAATTTAGAAGATGCTGTGAATATCATTTTGAACTTGTGTAAATACATGAAAGAGAAAACCTTTGTCTGGAACTTCTTGGCTTTGTGCAAGCTGTGTCCAAGGCAAGTACATAAACTGGTACCTTGTAATAAAGAGGCAGCTGATGCCATGCACTTGTCTGAGGGCATAGCTCCATGTCCTCTGACATTCCTGGTGTCCCAAAGAATAGCAAATGCCAGTTTGAATATTATGTAACTTATTTTTTTAATGTGGACAGGGGACCTTAAAAATCACTAAGTTATTAAAAATGTGGATGTGCTAGAATTTGATATGTCTGGGAACATGGGAAGGGCTCACAATTGGAATCCCATGAGTTTCTGTTTTTCTCTACCCAAACTCATTCCAAAGCTGACTGCATTTGTACCATCTTACTTATTTTGGGGATTACACACCTCAGCCGCGTGAGATGGGGGTCAGCTCTTTATAATAAAGGGAAACTAGACCAGGCCTAAAGCCCACCCCCTACCCTCACCCCTACATCCCTCTTCTGAAACTTAAAAACAGTGGGAATATAGGAAAGGGAACCAAATCTCATTAATTGTTCTCCCCATTACCCCAATGAATGGCCATACAGGCTAAGCTGAATAATGACAAAGTCGAAAGGACCAATACAGCCCCTTTTATAAGGGTTTTGAACGTTTAGCAAATGTATTGGTCCCTGTGCTGTATTTTGTAGCCTTTTCCCGGGCTTCAGCTCCCCTACTTCTTGTATGTGTATGCATACTGTAGCTAACCATTAAAGTCATGACACACACGAGTCCACTGTGCCTTTCTCAGTAGCAGCAGCCAGTGCTGGTGGTGAGGAGGAAAAGTGGACAGTCCAGCCTTGCAGACCTTGGGGCCATGGGGGACCATCAACTACTTGCTGAATGATAGGTCATTCCCACTAACTAAGCTGGCATGTTTAAGGAAACTATTTTTCTTCCTATTTCAACACTGGAAAATTGCTGGAGCAGGTTTCTCTGGTTAAACAGAATTTAAAATGCCCAGTTTTAATACCCCCCAGGTATTTCGGTATTTTTTCTTTTTAAAGAAAATGAGTAGATGTGTATTTTAAAACTTAACCCACTTAAAATTTGCCTTACCTTTCATGACTGTCAAGTTTTACAGCCAGAGAGGACAAAATAGTTCAAAATTAAATAATTGAAGTCCTCCATGAGTGATGTCTTAGGATTTATTCCCTGAGGGGTGGTTTGTGCCATCTAGAGTGAACTTCGGGTAACTGATCATTGAGTGCCAGTTACACAGCTTATTAAATCCAGTCTTTTAAATAAAGGTTAAGTGATTTCCTCAAACTAGACTTAGATTTAAACCAGGGTCTACCTCCAAAGTCTATTATGAAATGCTGAAACACAACTGGATGACCTATTACTACCGTATTTCCACTGGCTTTGGTTAAAACAGAACAAAATAGCTGTAACATGCTTTAACAATTAGCAGTGATTCCCAAGTCTGCTGTTCTCAATCCTAAAACACATCACCCTTACCTCAGTTTATCCTAGCACACCACGTTTGCTACTTTTCCTCTTGGTGTTTAATAAGAAAAAGATCCAAATTTTCCCTTTTTCAAACATCAATGAGTACTAGCTTAGAATAAAAGTTCTTATTGCTGTTCCTTCAGGGAACAGGGAAACTGCCAACTTGTGTCAGTTCCAACAACTGATGTAAGATCATCTTCTGACCATAGCGAACCTGTAAGGCTTGCTGTTCCCTCCAGCTGAGTTGGGCATAGACTTCCTTATTACTGAGTAAATCTTGGTCAGTTTTTAAGTCTGTGGCATAGGTCTGTAAGGTCAATAGAACACTGTTTTGTAGCAGCTGTCTCCACGATGCTTTGAGCTTGGGAATATTTGTGATCGTCAGGCTGCCCTCTTCCCTTTTATTATCTCCCCCTCCATCCTGGTCTTTAAGCTCTCTGAACTCCTCAGCAGGCATGCACAGTACCTAGAAACAACCACAGAGCCCTTTAATTAGGATGTACTACTTTTGTACTTCCAAAATGATTCAGGAGATTAAACCCATCTTAGCATTTATTAAAAACCCCACATTTCATCTTCTAGCTGTTCTGCTTTAAATACTTAGATTATCAGCATTAAATGGCCATTTTCAGCCCTTTACCTTTAGTGTGGTGATCAGCTCCTCTTCAGTTAGCACCTCCTCCCTCCCTATCACAAAGGCGCCTTCTTCCCCTACCATCTCCAGTTTGCATAGGAAATCCCAGCGCTCATACGCTAGGAGCCTTTCAGCTTCAGTTTTTGTTCCTGTAGATGAAATAGCAATGTGAAAGGCTCAGTACACCCAATGGCTCATTTTTTCTTTAGTCTGCCACCCAGTCTACAAAGTCAACTGCTATTTAGCAAAGCTGTTTAACCTGAGGTGTGGGTATAGACACACCATCAGTGTCAAATATTGAGTTAACAATACACTCACCCTGTAATGCTGCCTCACGAACTGTCACCATCTGAATGTCAGCTGTGTCATCTGTGTTGTCAGGATATGGTTCAACAAAACCGTACATATGAATCAGTTGCCAGTTAGCCATTTGCCCATAAGTGTTGAAAATCTCATGGCCTTTAGGAATGGGCTGAGTGGCTACCATCCGAAGACAATTCTGAGGTGAAAGGGAGAAGCTGGGGCCATGCCTTTCACGGGCCAGCCCCATGAAGATTACTTCCACTTAAGAGCCTTTAGCAGGTGTAGTTCAGCCATGGAACTGATGCTGTTAGCTACCAAAGTTCTACCTTTAGTTCCTGTTAGACCCTGAACTGTGAAACAAAAAAGGGTTAGGCTAACTTTCAAAGGCCAGCTTCATGTTTAAGTGGGTGGATTTCTGCACAGTCCTCTTCAGCACTTAAAAAGTTGCTAGCTTTAAAAATGAAATTTTTGGCCGGGTGCGGTGGCTCACACCTGTAATCCCAGCACTTTGGGAGGCCAAGGTGGGTGGATCACCTGAGGTCAGGAGTTCCAAGACCAGCCTGGCCAACATGGCGAAACACTGTCACTACTAAAAAATACAAAAATTAGCCGGGCATGGTGGCGGGAGCCTGTAATCCCAGCTACTTGGGAGGTTGAAGCAGGGAGAATTGCTTGAACCCGGGAGGCGGAAGTTGTAGTGAGCTGAGATCACGCCACTGCACTCCAGCCTGGGTGACACAGCGAGACTCCTTCTGGGCGCGGGGTGGGGCGGGGGAATGAAACTTTCGCATATCAAAGTGGGAAAGGAAAATGGAGGCAAGGATTAAGAAATAACCATACTTAACTAATTTTCGATCCTATAAATGTGTCATCTTTTCAGGCAACTTTCCGTATAGAACAGAGCTGGTAAAAACACAGCTTTATACCCAGTTCTAGGATCATCTTAGACCTCTGGCCTGTGAATGTCCTCATCCCTACAAAACACGGAGACTATCACTGTTCCAGGCTGCTATCCACAGAGCCACACACAGTCTGGGCTCACAGATGTGATCAGCCAGCAGGGAATGAAGCATGGCTATGCAGACCACCCAATCTCTAGCACTAAATAAATGATGGTAGTATAGTTTATCAGAGAGTTAACCCCAACTTACTTTGAGGACTTTAAAATGTTTTGCATTCAAATGATTCTACAGTAATAAGCACACTAAAAGTACATACAGGAGGAGCTGATTTCACCTACTCATTTTGTAGCATTAGTAAGAGAATGGAGCCTAAGACACAATGGCTTGAATCATGCTTAGTGCACCAATAAGAACTCCACTCACCGCAGAATATTCTAAATTGGCATTGTGATTGGCTAAGTGGTTTAGTATGTCTGCAGCAGGCACCATCACTGGGGAGTTGGGCTCCTTTTCATCCTCCTCCTCTTCCAGTGGTTCCTGAAAGCTGCCATTGACAGAACCTGGCTAAGGTCCTGTCTTGGGTGAGGGATTGGGGGTGGATTTCATTGTTTTTCCCCTTTTGTCCCTCTCTACAGTTCTAAAGAAAAGGGTTCCGTCCTCAGAGGCCCCACCCACTGACCTATAGGCCATCACAAGGGCCACGAGCTGATGGTAGAGTTCTAGGGAGCGAACCCTGAGGCTGAAGAGATCGGGGTGGGCTTCCATGAAGGGCAGCACGATGGAGTGGTACTCGCTGCGGATGTTGGCCAAATCCTTCTCCACGGCCTCAGGTACGCCTGTGCCCTGCAGCAGGCACCGGCGCTGCTCCTCTGGCCTGCAGGGACACCCACACCCAGGTTCCCTTCATCCCTTCACACACTTTACTGGGCAGGACTGGTGCAGGGGCGGGTGGCGGGGAAACTTCCTGCAGCAGGCTACGGTGCAGGCGTTCCCCAACCCCTCCCAAAGTTCTCACCAGAACATCGGGTGCTCCAAGCGGCCCAGCTCGGGCCAGAGCGCAAAGTACGGCCTCCAGCGTGAGGCCGGGGCCTGCAGCTCGTGGAGGAGCGCCAGCAGCAGTGGCACCCAGCCCGACTGGCTCTGCAGCGCGCCTCGCTCTGAGGGAGACACAGGTGTGAGCGCCCCGGCGCGGCCTCGCGGGCCCGCCCCGCCCAGCCCCAGAGCCCTAGCCCGCCGCCGTGCCCACCTCGCTCCAGCAGGCCGCCAATGGAGCAGGTGTACTGCGACAGGAGCGCGGCCCGCGGTACCACGAACAGCAGCTCTCCGGCCTGCACGCTCTCCCGGGCCACCATGCCGTAGCCGGCCACCGTGCCCTGCCGGCTGACCGCCACCTGAGCCGGAGGAGGGCTGGTCAGGGCAGCCCGCGCCCCGCCGCGGGTCCTCCGCCCGCCGGCTCGCTCGCTCACCTTGGGACTCAGCTCCAGCCCCACCCGCCGGCACCAGTTCAGGAAACCGACCACAGGATCCGGGTCGCCGCCGTCCACAGGCCCCGCCACCTGAGATAAGTGCGCGCAGTGACCAGGCCCGGCCCCAGAGAGCCCGCTGGGAACGGCAGGAGACCGCGACGCGCGCGCGCAGAACGGGCTTTGGGTGGAGGTGGGGACGAGCGGAGAGGGGCGCGGGACCCGCGGGAGGGAGCGGAGGGGGCGCAGGCGCATGGCCCTGCGGGCGGAGGAGGGGTGAGGCGCGAAGGAGAAGGCTGGACCCCGCACCCGCCACTCACCCGTGGGCGCTTCGTCTGGGTCGCCATGGTCTGAAAGCGCGCCGCCCGGTGGGCCCGTGGAGCGCGCGGCCACTTCCGGCGTCTCTGGCCCCGCCCCGGCGCCAGAACCACGTGGTGCCTGTTTTGGCGTCCACGCTGCAGACCGGCCGGTGTTAGCGCTGGCTGGAATCGTTCCTACTGAAAACATCTTGAGTCCAGGATCTCCAATTGCACTCACGCGATCAGAGTGCAGAAGGAGCGTCCCGTGCCGCTTGGAGCCTGGTTCTGAGCCAGGTACAACCCTGGCCTTTGGTCTGTCCCCGAGGGCTGAGGCTTCTTGCGGTCTGGGTGTAGGAACAAAATACGGTTTCTGGATCGGAAGCCGAGGGTCTGGCGGCCGGCCGGTGGTGAGCGACGCATCTGCGCGGCCAGCGACCTCCTGATCTCGACTCCTTGTTACCGATGGCCATGGAATCGTTTTACTGGTGGTATGCGTTCAGAGCAGTTTTCGTGTGTGTTTCGGAATAGCGTGGCCTAGAGGGCTCCTGGATCTAGAATAGATCCTGTCTGCCCTTATTTGCCAGTACATCCTCGTTTTTTAATCTACTGCATAGCACGTGGTGGGTTTTATTAGCTGACATAGTAAGGACTCAATATCTACCTATTGGGTAAATAAATGAATAAAACAAATGGTGGTTAAACCTGGGGAAGTAGCATGCTGTTAAGTTTAAGAAAACGAGGCTGTGAATAAATAAACGAGGTTACAGGAATGGGTTTTGAAACCAAGCAACGCCGGAGCTCAACACTCAGTGTTTTTTTTTTTTTCTCTTTTTTGGGGAGGTGGGGAGACGGAGTCTCGATCTGTCGCCCAGGCTGGAGTGCGTGGTGCAGTCTCGGCTCACTGCAACCTCCACCTCCCGGGTTCAAGCAATTCTGTCTTAGCCTCCCGAGTAGCTGGGACTACAGGACTACAGGCGTAGGCTGCCACGCCCAGCTCATTTTTTGTATTTATTTTTAGTAGGGTCGGGGTTTCACCGCGTTGCCCAGGCTGGTCTCGAACTCCTGAGCTCAGGCAATCCGCCCGCCTCGGCTTCCCAAAGTGCTAGGATTACAGGCGTGAGCCATCGCGCCCGGCCTGGTCTATTATTAAGGCAGATCCTTTTTCCTGAAGCTTAGTCTCCTCACCTGTGAAACTAAGATAATACCTACCCTGTAGGATTAATGTAAGGACTGGTATGTTGACTAAAGAAAAAATATTAAGTTTTTAAATAATTAAAATTAGTTTTATTTAGAAGCCTTACTGAGGACTATAGACTGAGGCCTGTAGCCCAGGAGTAATCTTGTGAGGCTGCTGTAACGGTATTTTAGTTTAGGTTATATGTAGTTGAAGATTTAGTATGTGTAAAATCATATCAAAGTTTAGGGATAAGTATATCTGGTTATAGATTGCAGAAGTATAATCATTAACCCTGTCAGACATGATCGTATGTTTAGGAGAAGGCAAAGAACAGGTCATTTATCTTTGAAGGAATGTAGTGACTCAGGCAAGAGATTTGGAGGGCAGGGGTGTTTTGTTTTTAAGGCTTTTTTTTTCTGGAAAGCTGTATTTTGTTTTTTATTTTGAGACAGAGTCTCACTCTGTCCCCCAGGCTGGAGTGCAGTGGCATGATCTCCGCTCACTACCACCTCTGCCTCCCGTGTTCAAGAGATTCTTCTGCTTCAGCCTCCCGAGTAGCTGGGATTACAGGCACGTGCCACCACGCCTGGCTACTTTTTGTATTTTTAGTAGAGACAGGGTTTCACCATGTTGCCCAGGCTGGTCTTTAACTGCTGGCCTCAAGTGATCTGCCCGCCTCAGCCTCCCAAAGTGCTGGGATTACAGGCTTGAGCAACCGCGCCTGGCTGAGGAGAGCTGTATTTTGTCCCAGAGTCAGGGGTTTAAGCAGAAATTAGCACATAAGGCTTTTAATGTTTGTCACACTCTCCTCTCACTGGTAAAATAATGTGACATGTACTGGAAATAGAAAGATGGGTGGAGACCATCCTCTCCTAGCACCCTCACCCCAAACCAAGCAGCACCAGCAGCCCCTGCCCAAACATTCTGTCACTCCAAAAGCTTCCCACGATGGGCATGGCATCACCACACTGGAATTCTTAGGTTCTTTATTAGTTTTTCAGCACAGTTAACTCTTTCTACGTTGACTAGAGTTTTGTTTTACATTTTGTCATCTCATGACAGCAGCCACCAGAATACACAGAATTAGGCTCTTTGTGCGGAGAAGAAAATAATAAACATTAAAAGTTCACCTTGACCAAAGAGACAGCCTCCGGAGGACCACCACACATGGGAGGACCCAATGTACACACACACACACACACACACACATCTATATATATAATGTATAGATATTTATAGATATTTCATCTGGAAACACAGCAAAAAACAAAAAAAAAATTCCACGATTTGCAGTGCTATCTACAGTAAGAGGGATGAATTCTACCAGCTTTCAACCAGTCACATTCAGTATTCAGAAGCAGCACATGAGGGGGTAGAACTCGGCACAAACTAACACATCACCAGGCTAGTCATGGCTTAAGATTACAGAAGGGGGGTGATGTGTATAGAGGAAATACGCATATAGGTGTCCTCTCAGCCTCAGAACACCTGCCACAACCCTCCCCCTCCACAGCCCTTCATGTTTTCATTGCTCTCTCCCCTCTCTGTTTTGAGGTTTGTGACCATTGATTTAGGGTCTGAGACAAATGGCTCTGGTTTCTGGGCCGCAAGATGCTATAGGGTAAGGTGGGTGGATGGAAAGCATACAACACAGTCCTGGGCTTCAGGGGACAGCAGGGGGCTGGGGTGTGGGAGAAGCCTTTCTCCTCTACCTGGCTCTTGTTCGTGTCCAGAATCATCAGCCCCCAGTAAGCCCCAGCCCAGGGGGCTATGGGGTAGAAGTCTCGCTGCCTTGGGCCAGTTGACTGAATAAACTCTCTCTTCCTTAGTGATGCTTCCAGGACACGCTGGCACAGCCTGGCCAGAGCTCTGCCTGAAACACCACACTGCTACTGATGGCATTGCCCTCTGGGGAACCTGGGGGCAAAAAAGGGGTCTCCAGGAACTCAGCTACCCCTGCCTCTGGCCACCTGCGGGCTCCCAAAGGCAGTCACCACGATGTTCTCAGGGCACACACGCCACACATGGGCTCTCTCTTCCTTCTCCCTCACCCCCAGTCAGGTCACTGTGGGGACAGACGACCAGGCAACTTCTGCCTCGGGGAGGCCTTGGCTCAGAAATGGGAGAGGGCCAGGAGGTGGCAGAGTGTGGGCTGGAAGGGACGGTCTGTGGGGTTCCTGCCCTCACGGTTCTCCATGTTCTGTCTTCCTTGGGCAGAGAAACCCCGACGCCCCTGCCTGCCTGGCCCTACAGCACCAGCTGGGCCCAGAGAGCACCAGGAAAGTGGCTGCCTGGTCCGACCGCCCCCTTGTGGCTATTGTCCAGATGATTGTCACATGTGCTATGAGACAGAAACGGGTGTGCTTGGTGGAGAGTGGGGGAAGGGGTCTCCCAGGGCTCCCACTCCAGTGCCTGAGCTGGCCCTGCACCCCTGTGGGCCCAGTAACCACCCTCTCGAAGCCTCTCCCATCTGCAAACCTGCCTGCCCAAGGGCTCACCCAGGAATGGCCTGGATCCTTAGAGAATCTCCCTCCCTATGGCCCTGCCCTCCTGTGCCTGGGCCACAGGGAGTGAGATGAGAGGGGTCAAGTCGGCCAAGTTACCACGGAGAGTGAGATGGGGTGGGGAGGAGTGAGCCCCTCAAAACACCTGGAGACTGTTCCGCTGAAGGATCTAAGATAGATCCCCTCATTTTTTTCAAACAGAACCCCATTTCCTCCCCTTTGCCCTCACAAAAATAAACTAAAGGGAACATGAGCCGGCGCAAGGATGGCGGTGGGGCCTCGACGTGGGCGGACAGGTGGGCGTCGTCAGCGGGATCGAGGGCTTCAACAGGACACCTCCATGGTGTGGTTGACCTGGCCCAGCCCCTCGCTGCTCTCCGAGTGGGTGCAGGCCTGTGGGCGGCTGCCATCCACCGAGCTGGCACTGGTGAGGGATGCAGTGCGGGAGCGTGCCAGGCGGGTCATGCTGGCTGAGGGCACTGTGGACAGAGACAGGGTGGGCCTGAGGACTGGCGGGCAGGGCCAGGCGCCTCTGGTGGGAAAAGTAGGCTGCAAGCAAAGCGGCTAGCGAACCGTTTCTCGAAGGCACAAAGGGCCCCTCCCGAGCCAGGAGGCTGGCGACAGCTGTCGGGCCGGGGGCATGCAGGGCCAGCGACAGTGAGTGGGCCTAGGGGGCTGTGGCCAGCAGGGCCCTCTCAAGCAGCTGACCAGGCAGCCCTGAGCAGCTGGTGCAGGGAGGTGCTGGGTTTCCAGCCGTGCCTCCCTCGAGGATGCCGGTGGAGAAGTAGGACTGCTTCTGTAAAGGAGGACACGGAGCAGTGGTCACCCTCAATCCAGACTCTGCCCTTGTTCGGAGTTTCACAAGCAAGACTTGCGGGCAGCAAACTCTACCCTCCTGAACGCTCCTGGCCACCTCTGGCTCAGGCAGGGCCAGACCTGGGCTCTACCTCTAAGGAGGGTCTGTTTCCAATCCCCAGAGCTCTGGAAGCTACGAAGCTCATGACAACCTAGAAGCAAGACTGCTCTGCAGCCCAGCCAACCTAGAGGCCAAGTCTGCAGAAACACAAGAATCTGTGGGCTTTCTGAGTGGAACAGGACACAAGAAGGTTCCAAACCACAGCAAGATGCGGCCTGGCTGCAGCAGGAGCGGGGGAGGGGGAGGCTAGGTGTCCATGCATCAGGGGAAGGGCTGTGGGGCTACCTGCTCCTCCACTCAGCCTTCGGTCCTTCAAGTACGCAACTAAGAGAGAAGACAGAGCCAGACAGGGGGCGGGGTGGGGGAGACACAACACAGTGAACAGCGTGGTCCACTGAGGCCAGGGCATTGAGATGAGCCGGAGAGATGGGACAAAGGACAGGCACAGAGAGGCTGGGGGCAGGGTCAGAGGCTCTGGAAGCCCACCCAGCAGTGGTCCCCAGAAGGATCTCTGACCCAAGGAAGCCCTGACAGCCGGTGGGGTGCTTATCCCCTCACCATTCTGCTGGGCCTCAGTCTCCTGCGTACAGAACTGGGGAGGCCTGCCCCTCTGTGCCTCTCCCAGCTCGGGGCTGCCTGGTGGAGTTTCTCCCCAGGACCCTGAGAACGCATCTCAGCGCCTGACAAGCTTCCTCCATTCACCTCACAAATGCTTGCTGTGCCCTGATCCCAGCCTCTGCGCTCCTACAGAGCCCCCCTGCGAGCCCCAGGGCTCTGCCCTGCTCCAGAGAGCACTGTATTCCTGGGTGTCCTCCCCAGCCTTCCCACAGGCCGCCCCCTGTTTGCCCTGGAGATACCAGCCCCAGAGGCTAAAGTCTGGAGGGCAATAAAAAACAAACTGAGAAGAGGAAGTTTGCCACCTGGCAGTGGGGAGCTGGAAACAGGTATGTCTTAGAGGGAAGGGGAAGTCGAGGAGACACCCAAGGGGTGTGTGTGTCTGTGTATGTGTACCTGGTTCTACCCCAGACCCAGATTTTCAGATCTGCCAACTCAGGTTCAGCTGCTTTCAGCTCTCTGAATGCCCAGGCCGCCCCAATTGCCTTCCCTGGCCCCAGGCTCCAAGCCCACTCCTATGACGCCCTGGGTGCAGCCACCAGTTGTTTCAAAAGGCCTTCTCAGGTGCCGTAGGCCCAACTCTGACCCCAAGCCCTGGGGCAGATGAGGGGAGTGTGCCTCACCCCCAGACAGGCTTCCCTGGCAGGACGTGGCCCTTGGACCTGGACCCTCAG